AGTAGTATATATATATATATATATATATATATATATATATATATTTTTGCCTCCCGAGGACAGCGTTATATCGAGGTAGAGGTGTATATTGAAAATTAGGCACATAATTGCATACCTACACTAGTTGAAAATCTGCTCCTGGCTAGTATGGTTTGATCAGATTATGCTAGTGGTCCCCAAACTCTTTACCTCGTGCCCTCCCCTTATCCCTATCTGTGCCCCCCGAGCCAGGGCCAGGAGCGGGGACGCAGCTCTGGGAGGAAAGGGAAGTGGACCGGGGTTAGGTGGCCAAGGCTGGGGCCCTGGCTGAGGGCAGGGCTGTGAGGACTGGCCTGGGCCCCAGCTGTGCGCCCCCCAAACCCCTACGCACAGTGTCCCACACTTTGGGGACCTCTACTTATGCAATGTTTTGTTTGGATTGAGGGTAAACTGACTACAACTACATCTACAAAACCAACATTAATCTGGTGCGGTATGGGGGCGGGAATTTGAATGTATACTAGAGGAGTCCTGCTCTGTTCCCCAGTTTTTAGGAAAGCCATGTGGTTTTTGTTGTACAGATTTGCAATTGGGAATACATTTAGGTCTCTGGCGGCTTCTAAATGTCCAGGAAAATGATATTGTGGCAGATGTTTAAAATATCTGCTCTTTGGGATGGGTCTGACATGCTTCATGTTTTCCTGTTTGTGAGTCATTCTGCAGAATCTAAGCTTTTCTTTTTTTTTTTTTTTTTAATTGTGACTGTGAAGATCACTTTCCAGTCACATTTGAATGGTTGACGTAAGCAGTGCTGTTTTCCTCAGTCTCCAGATAGACTGAAATTGTGACAGAGGCCTTGTCTACACTGCCACTCTCCAGCGCTACAACATTCTCGCTCGGGGCTGTGAAAAAACTCCCCCCAAGCACTGCAAGTTTCAGCGCTGTAAAGCGCCAGTGTAGACAGTACACCTGCGCTAGGAGTCGTGCTCCCAGGACTGGTAGCTATTCCCCTCATGTGGGTGGTGCTGGGAGAGCTCTCTGCCAGCGCTGGTGCCACGACTACACAGCCACATTAAAGCACTGCCACAGCAGCCCTTTGACATTGCTGGTGAAGACCTACCCTGAGAGGTGGGAACTCCTGGCCTCTCTTATCTCATTGGAATTGGAAGGAAATAGAAAAGGAAAGTAAGGAGAGTTACAGGCATGGAAAAGGCAACGAAGGAAAGGAATATGAGGAAGGCAGAGTAACAAAGGGCATAAATAGCTGTGCTAACAGTGAGTATGTTTCTCCACTAAAAGATACTGAACAAATAATACAAAGTTTAGTTTCCACATAAGACATATCCTCCCCTTTTACTGGTACAAATTTCCTGATGTCAATGGGAGGAAATTTGCTATAGATTGAGTGGGTGGGCATGGTCCTAAATTTACACCTGAGCCAAAGACCACAATTTAAAAAATGAAAGTTTGACTGCTTGATTTATCAAAAAAGGAAACTAAGTTTTTCTGATCTTCTCTTTTTAGAGGGTGTCTGAAGTCTGCTATATGTGTACTTCATTGTTCAGGGGCCACCGCAAAAGCATCTTGATTCATTTCATTGACGAGGCTGCAACTTACTTTTTATTTTTCTACAAATATTTTTGCCTACAGATATTTCCAAAAATGGCTCTGGTATTTGTAACTTTTTCTGTACAATAGCCAGTGGCCCTCTTGTGGCCAATTCCACTGCTATATCACTAATTTAACATCATTTCTTTCAGAGTCTGTGTCTCATCCAACACCCTTCTGAGTGATCAGTTGATAGATATTATAGTGATGAATAGAAATGCCTATAAATAAATATTTAGTAAGATAATTGGTAACTTTCTTCTTAAAATACTGCTCCTGAGCGTCCATGAAATTGTTCCAGCAAAATAATCCAGTGGCTATAATACAGACTTTGTGTTTGGTTTAGGCAGCAGAAGCAGCAGCATACAAACCAGCTTGCCAAAGAAACTGACAAGAACATTAAAGAGTTTGGGTCTCTGCCTGCAACAAGTGAACAGGTATAAAAATGAAGAACATGGATCATTTGAACATAATGTTGGCTGATGTAAAGTATCTGAATGGCTTCAGTTACATATTCATATTATTGCTGTCATTACTAGATGTTGACAACATCCAAGTGAGGTCTGTGTTCAAAACAAATGTTCAGTGCTATGTAGAAGTCACTTAATAGGCCTCAAGTGCAGTAAAATGCAGAATAGTTTTCTGTAAGCAATTGCTCCTACAGTGTATCAGAACTAAAGCACTCTGACAAGAATTGCTACCAACATGGTAATTACTATTGCTGCTGATGGTGTGTTATTGTGACTTGTAGGATTAAGAGATTTAAAATGAGTGAGTATGGTCAACAGATTATAACTATTTAATCACTTCTGTCTCATTCATGTTTGCTTAAACTTTGCACTTGGTACATAAATACCTCCTAGACCCAAAAAGGAAAAAAATTGAAGTGCCTCTTTTGCTTGGCCCTGGAGTTTGAAAGTTTGTGGTAAGAAACTCAACCATGTTGTTTGACCAGTGAGTTCCCTCCCACCCTTGTTCATGACTCCAAGATGGAAAAGTGGAGGTGATTGACTAAGGGCAAGTTGTAGCTCTTTGACACTCCCTTTGAATTTGCAATGTGATCTATGTGGATGGGGAAATAGAGAGGAAATTCTCTCATGACCTGACCGTGTCCATTCTCAATAGGAGTAAAAATTGGAAATTGATGTTTTTATAAAAACATGATTACAAGGTCATTTCTCCTCTCAGGTACAGTTCAGGGCATACCTTCAGCGCTTCTGTCTTATAATTAAATCAGTGAGTTTCCTCTCCTCCCCTGATGCTCTGGGCTGTTTTTACACAGTTTAAATTTTACAATATCAAAATATTCAGCAATTGTACAGTGAATCTAGTTAATAAATAAGACAGAAGGTCTCACTAGTAGCTTACTGAAAGCTGTCTGGATGTGTGATGCTGGATCGTCCTTAATTCCAATTGTTAAATACCAATAAGACAGTTGAAAATACATTGCATTCCTAATACTACTTTTCCACAATTGCTGTAATAGTGATGGGGTTGTTATGTGAACCCGAATGGGAGGTAGTCCATACAATCTCAAATGAGCGGGAACGTGCCATGAGACACTCTATTTAAAGTGTGAGGCCCATGCTAACGGGAAGGGGGGAACCACACAAACAAACCACCCTTGAAATAACTTATTTGTAAAGCCTTGAACAAGAGCAAGCTTGCTTGTTGTTATAAAAATCAGTCTTGCTTTCCTCCAATAGCGTCAAAGAAAAATACAGAAAGATCGTCTTGTGGCGGAGTTCAGCACTGCACTGGCCAACTTCCAGAGGATCCAAAGGCAAGCTGCTGAGAAAGAAAAAGATCTTGTAGCCAGAGTAAGAGCCAGCTCTAGGGTATCTGTAAGTATCCAGAAATATATTATTCAACTCAAACACTATTTACATAAAACCTGCTTCTTTTTATTAGCTTGAGAGCAGCATTCTTACAGGATTGTCACCAATGCAGGAGATAAATAAAACAAATGCACGCATGTAGAATGTGCGCACAATGCCAGCATAGTTGTGTGGTTTTTTATTTTTTTAAACTTTTGCTTGCCTTTGAACACAAGGTATTAAATTTAAAACTTGCATTTCAGTTTAATGGTTTGATTAAGGAAAAAATAACTTCATAGTAATTCCTTATTAAAAGACTTACTCTGTCCTTGTGCCTATGTATGGTTTTACAAAGGGGTTCATAGGTACTCCGCATAGTGCATATGCCCTGATCTTGCTATGGGAATCAGAGGTAGATCTTTGTATGTGTATAGTGTCCCCTAAATCAACAGGGATTCTTTTTGGATATAAGGATCCATCTGCTAGACCCCTTTGCAGGATTGAGGCTATCATGGGCTATGAAGCAGGAAACATTGAGTAAAGTAGTAGCCTTCATTTAAAGTGTCTTTACTTATGTCAGTCTTAAATTGGACTTTGGTTAATTTTAGAGAACTAAAATTTTAACATAGTTTGGAAATGCAAAATTATGCTGGTGGTGTGTGTGGTTTTTGTTGTAGTAGTAGTATAGGCTCAGTCCTGACCTTTGACTCCATGAATACAGCAATGTGTATTGGCATAAAATATATTGTAGGCTGCTACCAAGCTCAGTTTATTTGTGTATATATATCCACACACACCAGCCCCACACCAAGAATATAACTGACCATGTTGTTTTAGAGCTACCGAAGTTAAAACCCCCTTAATCTTGATTCATTATGGGAATTTCGACCAACATTTTACTATGTACCCATCACTCAAATAAAATGGTAATTTTTGCTTTTCCTACAGGCTGGTCCTTCAGAAGACGGTTACAAAGAAGGAACACTTGTCTCTTGGGACAGGTAGGACGGGTGTGCCATAAACCTTATAAGCTGTCTTGTAAATTGATTGGTTGACTCCAATAATGGGGACTTATTTGAGATGCACTCTGTGCTGTAGTCCATGGTTTTAAGAGAACTTGTGTGGTAAAACAACATTAAGATCACTTATACAGTGCATTTAAAAAAAATCTATTTGTTAAAGCATGCTGTGTGTTCGGGTTTTTTTGTTGGCTTTTTGTGACCCTCTGAAAGCTAATGATCACAAGTTAAAATTAGAACTGAAAATATCAATTTCTATTTTTATTTTGTTTGAGTTACTGCTTTAACACTATCAAACTCAGTTTCTGGGTCTCCTGGCCTTTAATGTGATCTGTTTAACTGGAACAGTGGAAATTGATTGGTTGGTTTTGGTTTTGGTTTTGGTTTGTTTGTTTTCCTGCAGAAGGAAATAGAAAACTAAAATTAGTTGTTAAAAAAATGTAATAGAATTGTATTACAATAGAGCCCAGAGGCTTCAACAGAGATAACAGCCTAATTGTGATAGGCATTGTACCAAACTCTCCTTTCTCCCCCCCTCATCTCCCTCCCCCCCCCCCCCACCTAAACCAAAACTAAACAGAGTTGCTGCGACCAAATTAACCTTTATTTCCATGTGTAATGGACTCAGAGTTAAGGGTTTTGTGTGTTTGAGTCAGGTTAGATTTAGCTAACCCCAACCACTGCTCCCCTCCTGATTATTTTCAGAGACTAAACCACCAACTACAAGATAAGGAGGAGGAACAGGCTAGTAAATGGATGTATGCATGTTTAACAACCTTAAGAAAAAATGCACACCCATAAGACGAATTTAAAAAAAGACTTTTAAAAACCTCTCATGAATTAATAAACATTAAAATGGAATGTGCTTCCTCTAGTTTGTTAGGACCTTCTGAAGGAAAGAGATGTGGTAAGAAGCTTTCATCCAACTATGCCTGTAGAGGACAACATAAAAACAATGCAGCCTTTTGTCTTTTATCCTTCCAGATTAGGACAGCTGGGTCTCTAAAACTTGGATCAAAATATTTAACTATTAATCCATAAGACTGAATACCTGCATTTTTCTTGAAGTGGCTTCTAATTCAGACTCCACTAACGAGGAAAGCCAAAATGAATGCCAGACTCCAAATGACACTTACCCTGTTTCCCCGAAAATAAGACATCCTCCGAAAATAAGGCCTACTTACAGTTTTGCCTCTCGTTGTAATATAAGGCATCTCCCCGATAATAAGACCTCCCCGATAATAAGGCATCCACCGATAATAAGGCATTTTTCATTTCTGAAAAATAAGACATCCCCTGAAAATAAGACCTAGCGCATCTTTGGGAGCAAAAATTAATATAAGACACTGTCTTATTTTCGGGGAAACAGGGTAGTTCAGAATCCAAATAGAAAGATGTTTGATATCTGCATGCTCAGTTAGAAAATGCTGAGCCAAAACACTAGGTTTTAAGGCGTTTCATATGTCAAAGCTGTTCAATATCATGCTTGTATAACTTTCTTTATTGAGGGCCTGAGGATTCAGGCCTTTCACATCAGCTGTACATCGATTTTTGCAAAGGTAAAAACATCATGTCTTGTGCAAGTTTAATGTGTATTCTCTGTACTTTAGTCTTTTTAACATGAAGTGCATTTCAACCTTGTGTATAAGAGCAGTTCAGCCGGTTCGAGTATTCTTGGTTTTTTTACAGTCAACCTCAAGCACAAGTGCAAGATGAAGACATTACAGAAGATGATCTCCGTCTTATTGAGGAGAGAGAGTCCTCCATCAGGCAGCTTGAGGTAAGCAGTGCTGCTATGTGCAGCATTAGAACAAACTTGAGAATATTTTTCTGATACTTCCTAAAGCAGCAGGCATTAGCATTAGTGGGAGGAATCCATCATCAAAGGTTAGAAAATATTTTTTTAATGCAGAAATTGTTTTTATGCAGTAGGTAAAGAACTGCACGTGGAATTCCCTACACAAAAACCACTTTTCACTGTTCTATTACGCAGTGTCATGGTCTACTAAGCTCTCCTGACTTCACTTGAGGAATAAATAGCCACCCATGTGACTACCAAGTAAGATAGAACTTGGGTTTTCATGCAAATATCCCTAGCAATGTTCTCTTTCTCTCCCCCCCGGCCGGCTCCAGGCACCAGCTGAGCCCTCCCTCTTCCCCCCCCCCCCCCCCAAGACTTCTCCTCATCCCAAAGCATTTTTATAGACCATGCAGTGTAGCACAGTATTGCCATTCATTCTTGTCCATGGCTTGTTCCCCCATTAAGTTCAAAAGCAAATTTTAAATAAAATGCAAAACGTCCCCTCCACGGAATTTTCCAGGTGGGGTATTTTTCAGTTCTTCCTGGTGTCAGCTGTTTTTAATATCATTGTCTGGAAATGCAGGATAAACATATTAAATGTAATAAAAATGGGTAACTCCTATTTATACTATATATGCATAAAAAGTACCAATAGTTGGGCATATGAAATATTGACTCCAGTAATGACTAAATTTTTCTGGAATTGAACAGAAATGCTTGAGGACAATCCATCTGTCCGTGCATTCATCTACCAATAGCAAAACAAAAAACTTGGATGGGAGAGGCAGGGAAAATTCCAATATTTTAAAACAAAATAAGTACTAATGAACATATTAAATGACTCCGAAATGTAGGTTATGGATTAATAGCATTGTGGCTGTTGTGGGTTTTGAAAAAGTAATTGACTTTTAAAACACCAGTGGAAATGAATGATGGATTCCAGACTGACTGAAATTATATATTTTGAGCTCCAACAAACTTCACCAGCAACTAAGAGTCTGGAGCTGGACCTTTAACAGGCAATTTTGCTGACGAATGAGACAACTAGAATCCAGTCCTCTTTTTTTCTTTATAGGCTTTGCAGTACTGATTGTATAAGAACTTACTTTTGTGGGTAAACTAAACAGAGGTGGATAAATAGGAATTATAAGCAAAACAAGAAGGTGCCGCTGCCCTCTACTAGATGAAACTGTTTTTTGGTAACTAAGGGCTGGTCAATAAGAGTTACACAAGTTTAACTTTTAACTTAAACGGACATGGTTAAACTGCTGCAAAACCTTATGGGAGGATATTTCTTTCCGTTTGGTTTAAGTCACTAAAGAAATTATTTAAGCCTTTTTGACATAAGCTACTCTTAAACTGACAGAAGGAATTTTGCACTAGTTTAACTAAGGCCATGTTTATATGGAGAGTGAACATGCAGCAGACTCTAGCACTCTAGATTTCCACCCCAACTTGCTGTGCATTAACTCTCTGTATAGACAAGCCCTAAACTAGTGTAAGAACACCTTTGCCATTGCAAGTTTGTGTGTAGAGAAGACCTTAGAAATTGGCCTCTTAACTAGTAGGATGTGCAGTGCAACTGATTTTGGATATTTAGATGAATATGATAGTATTCTTTTAATCCAAATTAAAACCTGAGCTTGCAAAAGAATTTATATTAGCTTCTTGGTGCAGGAAACCATAGCTATCTAGTCTGAAACAATGCACAATGTTTGGCTAACTACAGGAGTTTCCAATGGTATTTGGTAACTGTTTTTTAAATTATTTTCTCTTGCAGGCAGATATTATGGACATCAATGAAATATTTAAAGATTTAGGAATGATGATTCATGAACAAGGTGATGTGATAGGTAAGCACAGATCATAAAATATTTTAGAAAATTTACATGAAATTTAGGAGGAGGGGGGGAGAGAATAATATCCCATTGATTTATGTAGATTATTTATCATGCTGTATAATGCTTGGATCTTAATTTTAAACCACAAAATCATGATTCTCCAGAAACTAGCCAGATAAGATTTGTTTTTGATGGTGCTTTTTTGAGTACCTTCTCTGCTGACTGTCTGTATTTAAGTTGATTGAGGTTCTAATCTGTTGTGTTCTATATCGGCAGAGATTATTGGGTGATCTGTTAAAGCAATCAGGAAATCAGTACACTTGGGGAAAATGGCTTTAAATGTAGTTTCAGGTTCTACTCCTTCATTTTGAGTTTTGCTTCCAATTTTTGTGAGTTTTTAATTGCAGTTTTCTTATTTTGTAAAATGTCTTTCACTCCCCATTTGAGTGATCGACCAACCTAAAATGGGGGAAAAAATGCGAAGTATAAAGAAACTGGGGGGGAAACAATAGGAAAGTTATTTCCTTGGTTCTTTATGTTGGGCAAAGCAAATTAAGGGCTTGTCTCCACTTTACCGGGTGTGGCGATCGATCCACCGGGGGTCGATATAGCGGGTCTAGTGAAGACCTGCTAAATCGACTGCTGATCACTCTCCTGTCGACACTAGTACTCCACCGGAATGAGAAACATAAGGTAAGTCGATGGGAGGAACTCTCCTGTCAACCCAGCGTGGTACAGACACTGCGAAAGGTCGACTTAAGCTACGTCGACTCCAGCTACGTTATTCACATAGCTGGAGTTGCATAACTTAGGTCGACTGAGCCCCATATTGTAGACCTGCCCTAAGCTAAACCCAAAAACAGACACTGTTATTCCAAAAAAGATCATCCACACAGGGAGTTACTGTTGTAACAATGTTGGTTTGATAATGCCAGTAAAGTACCTTGAGTAAGCCCTTAGTTACTTCAATAAATGCAAATTTAAGCGCACACCATTTTCTCAGAATACAACTAAATAACACTCTTCTAACCAACATTCACAGACTGGCCATGATTGGTTTTGTGCCCACAAAGCCTTCTCTCTTAATAATTACTGATCCACCAAACCTTTCAAACAAAATTTCCATCAATTGAATTTCGTACTAAGTGGTATTCTTAAAAAGTTCTGGGTCACTCATTTCATCTATTTATCACCACTTTTCTCTCATGTCTTTCTCTGAGCAGTCGGTGCTCTTCATCCATCCTTCTCTCTCTCTCTCTCTCTCTCTCTCTCTCTCTCGTTTATTCTCAAACACCAGCTTCCTGAGAAACTATCCTTAGTGGTCCATGTCCAAAGCCAACCCTCCACTTCTAAAATACCTGAACTTAGAAGTTATGATATCTGAAGTAAACCTTGGCATACTCTGGGTGCTTCAGAAGTTAGCCTGGTCACTGTTACAGTACATATAGGGAAAATGACAAAGGAGGAAACTTCCATAATGCAGTAGGATAATGTTTGCGTGTTAGTGAAGGTAAATGCAAGTCAAAAGTGATTGTTCTTGCACTTTGCTCTGTGTATTTGAGTGTTTTATCTACTGTGTTTATCAAAGTTAGTTTGAATGATTTTTAGGGGATAGAGATTTAACTTTTTATTCAGGAAAGTAAGATGAAAATAAATATCATGAGGTGATGGTAAACTATTACCTATAGGTCCATTTATACCATGTTGTTGATTTTTAGCCATTAATCATTAGGAGGGTGGTGTTTTTTGTCTTGCAGTAGATACTTAATCTGATCCAATTGTACATAGAAATTCTAAGGGTAGGCTTGTTGGGATTTAATGTTCTGAGACTAAATGTCTGCTCTGGGAATGTGGAAGATCAGAACTGCAGCAGCTGTAATTTAATTAGTAACAGTGGCAAACACAGGCTTTTACTACATCAGGCTTTAATTGAGAAAATGACTTTTTTTTTTCTTTCTTTTAAAAAGACAGCATAGAAGCCAATGTAGAAAATGCTGACGTACATGTCCAGCAAGGAAACCAGCAGCTATCAAGAGCAGCAGACTACCAGGTAATATCAGTGCAAACTGCCAGTCATCTATCAATAATTGTCCCTTTCACTTGTTTGTCTTAATTTTTATTATGGTAGTTTAATTCTTCCTTATAATTGTTTTAATGGTTTGGAGACTTACTCAAAGACCCAAGACTGGCATAGCATAGCATCTTTGGGTCACTAATCCAAATTCAGCCCAGGTTGGTAGTAACAAAAAATCAATGCCCTCTGAAAGTTTAGCAGCCTTATGTGAAATTAACTGGCTGGTGTCCCATACTATGAAAAAACATCATAACTGATCTTCTCATTGCCAGTGCAGTAAGGGAAGGATTGAATGTGCATGGAGAATGAACCTATCCTTTGCTTCATAATTTCCCTAAATCAAGATTGGGGTTCATTGGTAGGGCAGTATAGGGAAGTTTTGTGCTACTGCTCAGGCTGCATAAATCTCTTCTGTGCATAGAAGACTTTGCTTTCCAGTTCTGCCATGTTCACGGACTTAAAAAATAAAATGAAAGAGCAAAGTTTTAGAAACCTGTGAAAGACTTTTTTCTTTTTTTTTTTTCTTTTTTCTTCAAGTCTATTTAGAGAGTCTTAAATTTTGGCCTGTGTTAGAGATAATCTTATTAGTAATACATCCTCTTCCTTGAACACTTCTCTGCTGAAGTTGACCTTCTCATTTAAAGTCATATTGCAGTTATAGCCAGGCAAACGAATCAGTGGGGAAAATTTTATTAAACCTAGATTTGTCTGCTGGCTTGTAAGGGACAAAAGGTGGCCAACTTTTTTCTAAAATATAGGCAGGGCTGGTAGCACCACTTATTAAGATTGCCCAACAGTTCCCATTATAAGACCCTGTTTTCAGTTGCTTATAAGTTTTTTTTAAAGTTTTGTTACACCTTCCCCCCCCCCCCCAAACTTTAACCATTTGAGATAAAAATTTTCATTCCAGTGTCTACCTGCCTGAAATTTTTTGGAAAACTTCAGCCAAAATGATTGATCTGTTTCAAAGAATGAGGCAATACAGAGGAAAATACATAATTTTTGTCCATGCTAAAAAAATTCTGGTGACCTTTTTATTTGAAAAGTTTTAAAATCCCATGGATTTTGGAGAGGGACTTGAAATTTGGCTGAGGAATGGCCTTTGTGTCAGGATGGGCCTTTTGTTATCCCTGTGAAAATCCGTGCAAATTTGGCCAAGTTATAAGCCTTTGAAAAGATCAGTTTCTACATACTTAGTAGAGACTTGGTTGGTTGGTTGTGGGTGTTTTTTAGCAGCTAAAATCTCTGATTCCATCCTTACTGACCATGCTCAAGCCTCTCATAGCTCCCTAGTGCTGAGCATATTGCATATATGCCATCCCCACAGAGCAACTGAGTATGCTCCCTCCAGTTCAGAGCTGAGAGAGTAAAGCCAGACATTCCCTGTAATGGCTGATCCCAGCTATTCTGGGAGTCAGGCCCTGGAATGGAGAGCTTGTCTCCTGCATTCACAATGACTTCCCTGCTGGCACCCAGGCAGCATGGAGGAGGAAGCCATCAGATTCATCTGTGGGGTGGGAGATGAGGGAGCCAGATTGCCATGTGGGAAAGGAGTAGATTGGGACAAGGAGTCCGACAACACTGGGATTGGAAGGGGTGCAGGGGGAGAAACTAGAACTGGCTCAGTAAGTAGACTGGAAGCTGGGGATGGGAGAGGATGGTGGAAATGGTTGGACAAGGAAACTGGGAGTCAGCTTGGGAGACTGAGTGAAAGTGTGTTGTGAGCGGTGGGGGGCTGGGAGCCAGCTGGGTGTCAGGGGAGAACCCTGAGATTCTACTGAGGGGAGGGGTGGAAGACTAGAACCAGGAGGAGATGCCTATCTCCTGGTTCTTCATCCCAGTTATCCCCTCCAGGCTTCCTTGTCCAAGTTCCAGTCCCAGTCTGTCTTCCTCCCTGGACTCCTCATCCTAATTCCCCACCTCCCAAAACACACCTTGGCTCCTTGTCCCAGGCTCCTGCACCCCCAACCAGCTCATCGCCCCGATCTCCACCCATACTCTCTGCCTCTGTCCCAGTCTACTCTCTCCACTGTCCCTCCCCCTCCCCTTACAGACAAAAAAAAATCTATATACTTATTACATTTCCTGTGAGATGCCAGGGAGAATGTATTTTTCCAATGTGAATTCCAAATACCCTTGAAATCTAAGGGGTGAAGTTATAATTTTTTTGTTTGTTTCCTGAACGACTTTTGCCTGTTAACCATTTACTATCTTAATTGTCTTTTTTTAAGTACACTGTTCATTTAGGTTGTGTAAATAACAGAACCACAGAACAGTTGCTAAGTAGTTCTGAACACTGCACAACAATCAAATTTTTGTATTAACAGCGCAAGTCCCGAAAGAAAATGTGCATCATCATTCTTGTACTTGTCATTGGAGCAGTGGTTCTTGGACTCATCATATGGGCATCTGTGAGATAAGACTGTTGAAAGAGCATTATTTAAATTATGCAAGAAAACTCCTACACTCGTTTTTGTCTGCTTCTGAAGCTGTTCAGTAAATGATGGTTCTATACTTTATCACTGTTGCTTTTTTTTAAAACCTGAGAAATGACTGTTGGTACCACTAGTTGGTATAACTTCCTTCCATTCTTGGATTTGAGATTGGCTGTACTGGCAAGACAACAATCAGTCAGTTTTATAAACTTACTTTTTTGTTGGTAAACTTACTTAATAAACCCCTCTAAATATTTCGGGCTAATCAGAATTTTTGATAAAGTGGGGCATAATCTGCTTTGATATTTCTAAGTGTTGCCAAATCTAAACAGAGTTTTCTGAACTCCTTATTCTAATTGGGACAACACACTTATTGTCACAAATTATTTTTAAACTGGTGAATAGGTCTTCCCACTCGCTGTCTCCTATGGATTACTCAAGATTATAACATAAAACCATGTTGACGTCAGAAAACTATCCTTCACTATTGAAGCCTTTGGATTAGGTGTTCAGTTTCTGATTGACTAGGAAATCTTTCATAGATTTCATTTGTCTTTATGTGGCAGTAGGTATCCGTGTGCCAGGCAAAGCCTATTTTATAGGTAAAATGGATGGCAATAATTTATTAATATAGGCTTTTTGATTAAACTCTTAAATTTAGAAATGAGACTTTGGGCCATATTTTTACTTAGCATTCATGCACCTAACTTATGCACACATCTGGTATTTTCATGCCTAAAATAAGTGTTGATAAATGATTATGCACAATTGAACATGTTTGACTGAATCTGGGTCTAATTTTAGTTGTGAACTCTTAAGTATGATATTGGGAATAGTGAAAATTTGTAGTTTCCGAATTGCACTTGAACTCCAGTGATCTGAACCTGCTGTTATGGTACAAATACTTTGAACAGTACAGACCCCAGTTTGTAAAAAATGTATTTTGTTTCTTATGCAATCAGAGAGAGGAGAACTAATCGTTAAATTTAGTGTCCAGGACTGATTAAGATCTCTACTTCCAAATGCCAATCAGTTGACCTGACTCAACTTGCTCAGAAGCTTGGCCATGCTTACAGCTTTCCAATTTTTTTCCTTTTTGTGCTATTTTATACTAATCCATAATTAGAACGGTAATGTATTTGCCTTTGTAATTGATATTGCGATAGTGCACTAATCAAGAATATTGTGCAGATGAAAATGTCTCTTAATCTGTATTTTATAAAGTTATTGTACAGCAGTTTGATAGAGAATGCACTATTTACATAACAAGCGGAGATTTACTAATTGAGAACTATTTAACTGTAAGTATCTATGGACTTAAAATTGTAACCATGAAGCCAAAATAAAGATGTTGTTTTAAAAGTGAGGGTTTTTCAGAATGTTTTTTTCTGTACTAGCACACATCACTTACCAAGTGATTAAAACTCATTTAAAGGGGGACAAACTCAAATTGTAAGCTGCAAATATGCAATCTAGTCCACACAAGGATTTCACATCTGTGTGTGGGCCTGTTGACTTAAATGGGACTCCATGTGTATAAGAGTTCAGCCAGATGCATCAGATTGCAGGGTCAAGACCCAACCTTGGATAATGCAAATTAAGGTCAAGGTTTTCATCTCTTTCTGAAGTCTGGCTGTTCACGAGGATGTATTCATTACCAGTTCTTTGTAATTTTTAATATATAAGATAGGAGCCCAGAATTACAGGATGGGCACCTATAGATGTGTGTTTACATTTTGGAAGAAATAAGCTTTAATGTCAGGTTCTTTGTGCTGATGTATTTGAGTTTCAAACACTGCAGGATATGTTCTTTTATTTAAACCCTGTGGTTGTGTGTTTTTTGGGTGGGGCGATTGGAATCTCTTTAATTGTGGAACTCTTCTGTTGCTCTTAATTTTTTTATAAAAGCTTTTCTAAAAGAATTTGGGCCAATTTCTTTGTCCATTTGCAATCTTGGTTAGAACTGAGTATGGTGACTCTGTACCAATATCACTGTGGGTTTGTTACACAATTACTTGGATACAGTAAGTAAAAAACAAAAATACTTGTGGTTCCCTAAATGTTAGAACTGTAAATACAAATTTAGGATCTGAAAGTAGCTTTCTTCTTTCCCCTCCATCTTGTGACTCATCCCTTCACCCGCCACTCCCTGGTATTGAAAATTCTGCAGGAACATACTGCCATCAGTTACACCTATGCAAAATCATTGCCTTCAAAGGGAGTTGTGTGGGTGTAATTGAGGGCAGAACTTGGACTTGCAATTGGAGTTTAGTTGATAATTTTGTTGCTGCACAAGCTAAAACTAGATACAGTTTGCTCTTTTAGTTTGGATACAGTGGAGATTGGCATGATATAAGCAGCTAAATCCCACTACAAATATTTAAGCACATACCATATATACTCGTTCATATGCCGAATATTTTTGGTAAAAAAGTGTCGCATCAAAGAGCGAGGGTTGGCTTATAAACGGGTCTACACCAAAATTTGATGATTTTAAACTCTATGGCAGGGATCAGCAACCTTTGGCATGCAAGCCGGGCCGGTTTGTTTACCTGCTGCATCTGCAGGTTCAGCTGATCGCAGCTCCCATTGACTTCAAGTTAGAGAATTCACCATTTATATTAGTTTAAACCTGCAAGTCATGCATTGGGGGTGCAGGGGACCCTGCCAATCTGACCCAGGGAAAATTCCTTCCTGACCCCAAATATGGCAATCAAGCCATACGACTTCCCAAAATTAATTTTATTTCAAGTCCAATAGCGATGGCTGAACTAGAGCATATCTTTTAGAAAAACATCCAGTCATGACTGAAAAATTTCCAGTGATCGAGAATCCTCCACTATTCGTGGTATATTGTTCTGGTGGCTAATTACACTTACCGCTTTAAAAAAAAGAAGTGTGCCTAACTTCTAGTCTGTATATGTCTAGGTTCAACTGCCATCTATGGGATCTTGTTTATACTTGTGGCTGCTAGATTGAAGAGCCTTCTGCTATCACATTACAGTTCCCTGTGTGGGTACTTTAAACCTTATATACCATCTAACTCTTGTGTGGAGGAGTTAGCTGTAAGCAAACAGCATTCTGAATACTTGTACTGGGCAGATCTGATGAATAGCACAGTGCCATTTTTACTTACACCACTATCTCAATATAACGCAACCCGATATAACACGAATTCGGATATAATGCGGTAAAGCAGTGCTCCGAGGGGCTGGGGCTGCGCACTCCGGTGGATCAAAGCAAGTTCAATATAATACGGTAAGTTTGTGGTGTTTTTTTTTTTTTGGCTCCCGAGGACAGCATTATATTGAAGTAGAGATGTAGTTACTTTTCAGGGTATAACTTAAATACTAAATTTTATTTTGTGCACACCATGATCATTGTGACGTTGTGCAGTCTATATGGTTTTATAAAAGCATGATAATAAGTGAATATAATGCAACTGGGATATGCTTCATGCAAAAGGTCTCTTGTAAGGTATCATTACAAAGCTCATAATCTACTGAGTGTGATCATCCTATTTGTAGAAATGTACCACTCTTGTATCTAAAACTAGAAATATAAAACATAACTCTGAGGGCCTATTGTAATTATGTAAAATGTGGGCCATTAATGATGGTTTGGAATCTTGATGACTCCGATTAACCAGGACCATTGTCTTCAGATGGCTGTGTTTACCTGTTTAGTCTTCCTGTAGATGTGTGTGCTGGCAAGTGGGCAATGAAGTCTTGCAATGACGTGATCATGTCACCTGAACTGGAATTCATCTTTAACCTGGTGCTTTTCCAGTGAGGGGGGTGGAAACCCAGAAGGACAAAGGGTTCCCGCCTTATGCAAAAGATATATAAAGGGGTGAAAGAGAACAAAGGGGGAGAGGAGCCATCATGAAGAATCCCCTAGCTATCACGTGAGCTGCAGTAAGAGCTGTACCAGGGGAAAGAATTGTGCCGAGGCCTGGAAGGTGTCCAGTCTGAGAAAAACTTACTCTGAGGGTGAGATTATCTGTATTTAGTTTGATTAGACATAGATTTGCGCATTTTATTTTATTTTGCTTGGTGACTTACTTTGTTCTGTTTGTTACTACTTGGAACCACTTAAATCCTATTTTCTGTATTTAATAAAATCACTTTTTATTTAGTAATTTACTCAGAGTATGTATTAATACCTGGGGGAGCAAACAACTGTGCATATCTCTCTGTCAGTGTTATAGAGGGCGAACAATTTATGAGTTTGCCCTGCATAAGCTTTATGCAGGGTAAAATGGATTTATCTGGGTTTAGACCCCATTGGGCGTTGGGCATCTGAGTGCTAAAGACGAGCACACTTCTGTGAGCTGTTTTCAGGGAAACTTGCAGCTTTGGGACAAGTGATTCAGACCCTGGGTCTGTGTTGGAGCAGACAGGAGTGTCTGGCTCAGCAAGACAGGGTGCTGGAGTCCTGAGCTGGCAGGGAAAACAGGAGCAGAGGTAGTCTTTGCACATCAGGTGGCAGCTCCCAAGGGGGTTCTGTGATCCAACCAGTCACAATCATAATGTCTGTGTTACTTTCATTCTCCTGCTCCTAGGAAAGGGCTGGGTGAGGTGTTTCCTTTTCTCGCCTTGGGTACTAGGGAAGGGAGTGAGCAAAGGATTTTGTTCCCCATTGCACAAGTGATAAAGGATGGGGAAGCAAGCACTAGGGATTTCTCCTTTCCCTCTACCCATAGTAGTGGGGATGAGTTTTCCGAACCCATGTAGTGCAAGCCTTTGATCAGGGCACAGTCACTTTGTAGATTGAGTAGATCAGATAGGGTGAGCTGCCCACCACATTCAGCCAAACTGCACCCTCTGGAGCAGCCTTCTTACAGCCCCTAAACTAAATATAAAACCCAGCCCCACTGGTCAAGTACCTGCTTGCCAATTAGCTCAGACAGGGCCTTCAGCCTCACAAAATCAAGGGGGCATAGGCAGGAGGAGGAGAATGTTTTAAAGCAATTTGATGATGGGAGGCACACAATTTAGGTGTCTATAAGCAATCACTTTGAACAACAGAAATTCTAATGGAGCTACTTTTTCCTAATCTTTTTCCAAATATAGACATAGCTCTTGACTATATATAAAATGTAATCCCCAAATACCGAAAGAAAGCTTTGATTATCTATTAACAACCTAACAAAACATCTGGATAGGATGTATGTGAGACTGTGTCTTCTAGAACACAGACGTTCATTGTTCTGAATTATGCATCAACATGGCAGATTAGCAAGGCAAAAAAAAGTCAATCAAAGCACGTTTCAGGTTCACGGATGAGACCTTGTAAGAATAGTTCCTTTGTAGCTATCTTAACCACACACCAAGAGAGCTTCTTTTCTTTCCTGCTTTTTCAAAGGTGATGACAATCACAAGGCCAGAGGTTTCTGTGAAGTTTTTTTTTCCTTCTTGGAAATTGTTCTTAGTATTAAACAGTATCTGCAAACTAACTTAACAGTCTTTTTTCTGGCAGGCCTCCTTACTTTGTGCATAAAGTCAGCAAATATATTGGAATGTCAGTGTTTCAGAAACTGAAGGGTGGGCTGGAATTTGGCCATTAAAGGAATTGTTTAATCCTTTTAAACTGTTTTTAGTCCTGTGGGTGGGTGGCGGGTTAGTAATCTAAAAGAGAAAATATGGTTGGTGATCAGATTTATATCCCCAGATGCTAATGGCATTGGAAATAGTAATGTTCTAGAGCTGTTCTGAAGTGTGCTAGAGAACAAGTTCTGTGTTCTGGAGTCATTTTGTTTAGCGTTTTCATTAAAACACTTTTGGGGCTTGTAAGCATTGACTATTAATGAGAGGGAGGGGAGTGTGTGTATACCCATGCGCGCACACAGGGTACATGTACCCATCCAGTACCAGCCTTATTTCTCACTTGCACATTTATATTCTGATAGTATTCACAATGTGCTCAGTGCAGTGCAAACAAAGGGAGGTACAGTGCCTCCTCAGTGAGCTTGAAAGTGAATCTTAATATGTCACCTAAAGTGTAACACCTTGTCTATATGGGGAAATTGACCAGTACGGCTATTACAGAATAGGTAATTACTCCAGAGTTAGTGAATTTTATTCTGGAATAGAATGCCCACACAGGGAGCTCTTCTGGAAGAGCTGTTGCAGAATCACTTTATCAATAGCTGTGCCACTCAATTTCCTTGAAAAACAGTGCCCTAGAAACTGCAACCATTTTCAGAGTGTAAGAATGCAAATATTTAAGTGTTCTTCTTTACTTCCTTTTCATTGAAGATGAGCAGGTCATACAATGTTTGAATAAAGGTAAGTGTACAAAAGCTGTAACTAGAGATGTCCATAACTCTAACAAAATTCTGACTTAAAAGGTGGAGAGGAACAT